TTTTTTTTTTTTTTTTTTTTTTTTTTTTTTTTTTTTTTTTTTTTTTTTTTTTTTTTTTTTTTTTTTGTGCCGGTGATCGAATTTGGGGCCTTGTGCTTGTGAAGCAGGCAGTGAAACCATTGAGCTAAATCCCTGGCCCTCTTTTGTTTTCTCTTTAGTTTATCTCCTCACTCCTCTAAATTTAAATAATCACCTAGATCTACTTATGATTCCTGTCTTAAACCATATAACAAAATCCCTGATACTGGATCATTTATAAACAGAAATCTCTCATAGTTCTGGAAGCTGGGCCATCCAAAATCACGCCACTGGCAGGTTCAGGGTTGAATTAGAGCCTCTTCCTCATAAATGGTACCATCTAGGTGTTCTTACAGGATAAAAGGGATCAAAGGGTGTAAAAGAAACCTAGCGGGTTCCCTTCAGCCCTTTTTTAAAAGTCCATTCATGAGTGCAAAGCCTTCATGACCTATCATCTCACCAAGGCAATGCCTTTTACTATTGTTGCACCAGGGATTAAATATCAGCATGAACTTTGAAGGGGACGCATTAAACAATGGCAGCTCCCAAATCTGTCTCTTCTCCTGACTCCTTCCCTGAGCTCTGGACTCAAGCAGTCACTTGCCTCCTTGGTGTCTTTATTTTGGTGACTACCAGCATCCCAGACTGATCATGCCTAAAACAAAGTTCAGTTTTCCTCCTAATGGGCCTCATTTCAGAAATGATACTCCAGTCAAAAAATGGAATAATTATCTATCTTTATGTATGTATTAATTTTAGTTCCTCCCTCACTAGTTTGAAAACTCTAGGAAGGCAGAGTGTCATTTTGGGTCAACATTGTATACTCAGTGCTTAGTACATTACCCAGTATGTGATAGATGAGCAATAAATAATTGCTGAATGAAGACATATTTCTGGATCTCAAATTGCTTACAATTTTGTTAGAGAAATCAGATGTCCTTGTGTACTGCTAAACACTATAGAAAAGTACAAAATTAAGTTTCACATTGCTAAATAGTAAAGATAACACTCTGGGAGTTTAGGAGCAGGGTGATTAGAGAAGACCACATGGAGATATTGGAGATATGGATAAGTTTTAGATAAGCAAAGAGGAACATGAGCATAATAGCAAGGAATGGCCCTGCAATGGAATTTGAATTGTTTAGGGGACAGTGAGGAGACCACTGTATTTCAGAAACTATTTAACAACACAAGCCTTTCACTTCAGATAATCTGATTAATGGACCTGTTGGATGGTAGGATATACAGAAGTAGGAAGCGGGGCAATACTCCAGCCAGTGGGAAGAACTCAAACAATCATCCACAGCTGATACTCTAAAGAATCAAGTATTTCATATTCAATGTTTTATTTGGGTATCATATAAACAAAATTTTATGAATGTAATTGTGAACTTGTGGCATAATTAGAAAAAATTGATTCAATCTGATTTTTGAGAATGAATTTTGTTTGCAGCTGAAGAGCTCACTCATCATGCTTCAGAAATCCTTTGATCTACTAAATAAGAACAACACCGGCATGGCTGTTGGAAGCTAGTGATCTTGTGGACTAAAACATCTGGAAGACAACTAGAGGATGAAGGATTTTAATTGTCCCAGGAATGTCTCATTTTCTTATTGAGGCTTCTAATATGAATATTCTTTTTAATAACATTTGTTTAATTATTCTCTGATGGCCTTAAGAATTCTGTTTTTTGACTTCCCACAATTTTTTAAACTATGAATTTTCCCAGTGAACTGTGAAATACATTCTAGAATTAAGATTCTAGTACAAAAAGAAAGTGAGACTGAATTTGATGCTTTAAATTTGTCTGTTAGCACAGCATCAGTACATGTCCAACAGACTGCTTTCCCAGTTGTGGTTAGTTTATGAGATTACAGAAGATAATATGAATAGAAAGCTCTAGTATTACCAGTTTGAAAGGACAGTTCTTTTAAACATATACATTTCTAGGTTTTTATCATGTAAATGTTACAGTGTCCTCATTTATTTGGTATGCAAAGTCAGTAGTCCAATGTTTTAGATATGCACGTTGTTTATTATATGAAAAGTTCCTTGGTTATTTGTATCTTGATGAAAGTTAATTTTTTAAAAAAATATCAGAGGTGGGATTGCCTTGCCTCTTTTATATACATCATTTGGCAGAAGAGTCAGTTTAGGAAAAGGAAACATGTAGGATACCAGTGCTCAAAATGAAGAACCATCATCTGAGTTTTAAAAACCAGAACATTATGTTAAAATCTGGACATTTGATAATAGATCAAATGCATACTTGGATTAACAATCTTTTATGGTGAGAGTGACCTATCTGAAAATAATTTGTTTTAGTGGCCACATATGGTGGCTTCATTCTTTATGTATGTGTGTGGCTTTTTTTTTTAGTTGGTAAATTATAAGTCAGACACAAACTTCAGCTCTTTTGGGGCATGTATGTCCCAACACAAATGTGCTGACTGAAGTGAGACAGACACAAGCTAGGGCTCTTTTAAAAAAGTTTTTAGGCATTTATGTGACAATAAAAGCAGTTCATGAAAATTAGAGGACTTCGTGAACTGACCTGCAATCAGATTTTCTTTCAGGACTTAGGAAAACTTCAGGAAGTGTTTATTGTTTTGTCTTTTTGAAGTCTTTCTCTGGAATCTGTAGATGTGTATATGGTATATATATTGCTACTATTTGAACAACTATTACTTATAGTTAACTATTTTCTTTTATCAGAGCCACCAAAGCCACATGGCATTGCAAAAGTCATTTTTGACAGATGCCTGTAGGGAATGAAAGTATTGACTCCATTAGAGGGAAAATGAATTTCATTAGTTGAATCCAATTAACCTGGGGATGCCAGTCTACCTACCTGTGGTTTTCTGGGTTAGAATATAAGTGTCTGACTGTAAGCAATGACTGGATTATAAACTTGAAACTTTCTGTTAAATTCACAAAGATGATCATTGACAAACTAAATGTTTTTATGGATTCTTTAAAACCTGTACTTTATAACATACCTCAAAGATTACCAAAGTTGTTTTATAAAGATTAAATAAATATGTATGGAGACGTCAGTTATAAAATTTGAATTTGTTATGTGTAAACTGGATGTCAGTAGACAAAATGATTTGTAAATTTTTTTCTGTTTAAAATAAAAAAAAACTAGAAAGTGTACACGAGACTGCATTCTTTAAAATTTGTAAAAAAAAAAAAAAAAAAAAAAACCCTAAAGAAGACTCTCATTTTAGGGTAATTTCATCTCAAATATGCAGACTACTGGAACAAAAGTACTGGAGGAGGCCTGCTCGCAGAATTTCTGCTGCTCGCCAGAAATCAAGTGAATGAACAAACTGGAAAAATCAACAGATCTGGGAGCAGGAATGGGCCTTTAAGGGAAGACAGACGAACTTGGGGGCGGCACCTCGGTACCAGCTCCCTAAAGCCTGTTGCCGAGTCTGAGAACTGGCTGGCCGACCGGCGGTCTCACTTAGTTGAAAATCCTCGGGCTCCGGGTATTTCCGTCTCCGAGCCTCGCCCGCACAC